CAGCACACTCGGGGGAGGTTATTTTGAACAGGATGAACTGGTGGCTTCTCCTCCTGCGTTCAGCTCCATTAAAAACACAGGGTCTACTTCTGTTCCAACAACAGAAAGCCGCAATCCATTCCGTTCCTCCGCGGGGAAAGGCCCAGTTGCACAAACCCCAACAATCCTGAAGCCGAACCGAAGAGGAGGCTCCTTCACTTACTTCCACCTTAAATTCGTTGCTAACATAGCGTCCGTTGAGCTCCGAGCACACCAGCTTGAATTTTCGGTCAAAGAGCGAGACGGCGTGCCAGTTGCGGTACCGGATCAAGTGCAAAACCTCCTCGTAGCTAGCCATGGTGTCCACCCCTGCGGAGAACAAACACGGGTCAGCTAAAATCGATGCTGGTTGGGAAGGCTGTGTTTGGCAAAACCCCCCCCCCCCACACACACACACATCAGATGTTTTGCATTGACAACAAATGGAAATGTAGCCAGTCTTTTTCCCTTTCGCTTTTAGAGTTAGATGATGCTGGGAGGGGGAATGTGAAGGAGAGTCTAGCTAGACATAACAATAGTGTGTGAGAACCAAGGTTATTGAATGAAATAAGAGATAAGAATATGCGGGCTGGAGAACTGGAGGAAAGGTCTGCATTTCAACCTAATTGGAGAATGTGATTTATGACTATTAATTGGAGCAGAGAATTGTGCTTTGATACTAGGTGCCCAGGGGAGGGGAATTCGGGTTTTGGCTTCGATTATCTAAGTGCCGATATTATGCTACTTGAATAAAAGACTCTTATGGGTAAACAATGCCTCGAAGTTCTTTTGAAGGGTTTCATCTGTCGGAACCATGACATCACGATGTAGGACCTAGAGCAGGGGTCTTCAAACCTGGCCCTTTGATGACTTGTGGACTTCAAATCCCAGAATTCCTCAGCCAGGCATGCGTGCCTGGCTGAGGAATTCTGGGAGTTGAAGTCCACAAGTCATCAAAGGGCCGAGTTTGGAGACCCCTGACCTAGAGGGTCGTGGAAATGTAGCTGTGGCTTAGTGCAACGTGTCAAACTTCTCCAAGGGGGGGGAGCGACGGGGAGGGCCATACCGGTAAGGATGAGGCCAAGGCCAGAGCTGCTCATCTCCATTCCTTTCTGCTGCAGCCTCACCAGGTCGACCTCCAGGCTCTCTTGGTCCCGGTTCAGTTCCTCCCCCAGCACCGACACTTCGCAGGTGTCCAAATTATGCATGATTTCTTCGGACACCAAGGACTCTTGGACTGGAAAGGAGAAGAAAGGGGAAAAACCGATCAGGAGGAAGGAAACGAGAGAAAGTCCCATCCATCAAGTTAGTTTCCCAGGCTGGGATCTTTCCGTGGAATCTGCGCTGCCTACGAGGGACGCTGGATGCTTCTCTGTTCATCTCTAGCCTGTCCCGACTGCCAAATATGCCATTTTTAAATATATATATATATATATTTATTCGTATCCCGCCTTTATTACTTGTACAAATTAGGTAGCAAACATATCCAACACACATTTCTCCTCCTATTTTCTTCACAACAACCCTGTGAGGTGGGTTGGGCTGAAAGAGAGGGGCTAGCCCAAAGTCGCCCAGCTCGCTTTCATGGCTAAGGCAGGACTTGAACTCACAATCTTCCGCTTTCTAGTCTGGTACCTTAACCACTAGAAACCCCACCTCCCTTTTCTCCTTCCTTCCTTCCTTCCTTCCTTCCTTCCTTCCTTCCTTCCTTCCTTCCCTTTCTCCCTTCCCCTCCCTCCTCCCCTTCCTTCTCTCTCCCTCTCCTTCCTTCCTTCCTCCCTCCCTTCCCTCCCTCCTTCTCCTTCCTCTCTCCCTCCTCTCCTTCCTTCCTTCTCTCCCTCCCTCCCTCTCTCCTTCCTTCCTTCCTCTCTCCCTCCCTTCCTTACACCACCCACCTCCCTCAAACACCGCTGAATCTGATCCTGCGTCCACCGCTGACTTTCAGTGCAGAATAAAAAGAGAAATAATAAAAAAATAAAGCTCAGCCGAAAGGAAAATATCCTCTGAATTAACTTCTGCTTCAGTTTGATGGACGAGATGCTGCTTTGTCCCATTTTGGGAGAAAAGCGGTCGCTCGAGAAACGAAGAGAGAGCCCTGTGCAGCCTCTACTTCCCTGCTCCTCCTCTGGGTCTCACCTGTAGGGTCCTCCTCCCCCTCTCCCTCGGGCTCCACCTCCCGGGTGATGGTGCTGACGATCCGGAGCTCGGGGAAGAGGGACACGCCTTCGGGGCTCTCGAACTCCGAAGCCGAGCGGGCAAAGTGGTCGATGCCGCTCAGGCTGATCTTGGGCTCCTCGGGCTGCAGGACCACGACGTAGCCCTCCACGAGCGGGATGGCGATGCAGGCTTCCTTGTCGGCACACCTGGGAAGGTAAGGCGTGGGGGCCGTCAGCGGGGTGGTGGATTCCCACGGGAGAGTTTCTCTAACACTAGACCAGGGTTTTTCAACCTAGTGTCAACGCTGCTAATATTGAATATTCTTGCTTTGACAAAATATGCAGAACTGTCTGGTATTTTTAGAGTTAATTCAGATGACAGAGAAAAGGGAGGAGATTAGTAAGGAAAGCCCGGGAAAATGAACGGAAGTGAATCTTTGCCCTCCAAGTTAATTGGAAGATGTGAATCGTGACCCCAAAATAGGGGAGGGGAAATGCCTGGAATGTTATGTGCAAAGGGAAGGGAAATTCAGATCTTGGCATCCATCATGCCGTGCTGACACGTCTCTACACTAATAAAGGTTTTTTTTAGGTTAAACCATGCCTGAAAATTCTTTGAAGTGTTTCATTAGTCAGACACATGACACCTAGGCAACTTTAAGACAAGTGGACTTTAACTCCCAGAATCCTTGGAGTTGAAGTCCACCCGCCTTAAGGTTGCAAAGGTTGATAAAACTGCACTAGGCCGCCAACCCCTTCAACGTTATCTCCCAATCCTGACCTTGGTTATTACTCTTCATGTTATTAAATAACCCCCCTCCCTTAATTTATATTAATGCCTCCATGTCGAGTTTGGACCTTCAGGTCCACAGGGGGAAGCGCCGTCGTGCCTGTTCTGTAGAAAGCAGAGGCATACGGGCTCCCCCGGATAGGCCTTATGAGCTCAGTCTGCACCACCCACTCTAAAAAAACAACAACAATAATTTGTGCTTCCCTGTGCAGTGTGAAATTCAGCCACAATCTAGAGGTTTGCTTTGGGCACAGTTCGCAAGCATAGCAAGTTTGCTTCCGGGTGCTTGTCACCTTCAAAGCCCTTCGTGGCTTGGGACCAGGTTATCTGGGGGACCCTCCCTCGCCGGTCACATCTAGGGGACCCACCAGAGCGGGGAGGCAAGGAACGTTGAGGGTCCCGCAAGGCAAGCGTCCTGCCCTGTGAACCAAGCAGCCACTGAGTCAAAACCCTGGTTGCATCTCCTCTCCTCCGAACCGCCGCAAAGACTCACTTCACCGTGCTTGTAATTTTGATCCGCCGGATGCCGGGTGTGGGGAACTGGCGCGAGTTCACGTACGAGATGCGCTGCATGGTTTTGTCGAACCGCTCGATGTCATCCCCTTCTAAACTCAGGGCTGACTGGCTGGGATTCATGTGGATCTGAAGTGAAGGGGAATAGAATAGAATAGAATAGAATAGAATAGAATAGAATAGAATAGAATAGAATAGAAAAGAAAATATGGAATGGAATGGAATGGAATGGAATAGAATATAATGCAGAATAGAATAAAATAGAATAGAAAATATGGAATGGAATGGAATGGAATAGGATAGAATAGAATAATAGAATAGAATAGAATAGAATAGAATAGAATAGAATAGAATAGAATAGAATAGAATAGAATAGAATAGAAAATATGGAATGGAATGGAATAGAATAGGATAGAATAGAGAATAGAACAGAACAGAACAGAATAGTGGAATAGAATGTAGAATAGAATAGAATGTAGAATAGAATAGAAAATAGAATAGAATAGAATAGAATAGAAAATATGGAATGGAATAGGGTAGGATAGAATAGAGAATAGAATAGAATGCAGAACAGAATAGAAAATATGGAATGGAATGAAATAGAATAGGATAGAATGCAGAATAGAATAGAATAGAATAGAATAGAATAGAATAGAAAATATGGAATGGAATGGAATAAGATAGAATAGAGAATAGAATAGAATGCAGAATAGAATAGAATAGAAAATATGGAATGGAATGAAATAGGATAGAATAGAGAAGAGAAGAGAACAGAACAGTGGAACAGAATGTAGAATAGAATAGAATAGAAGAATAGAATAGAATGTAGAATAGAATGAACAGAACAGAATATCTTTATTGTCATTGTGTAACTCACAACAAAATTAAGTGCTGTCCACAGTGCACACTACACACAAATAAAAAACCACAAATCAGAACATACATAATATACACACATCCTTCACATTCTCTTCACCGTTGCGCTGCCCCTAATATTGCACTTCAATGTTGCCCTACACAGAGGTATTTAATATGGTTCCAGCTCTGGGAAGCTGAGAAGCCGCAAATTGCTAGGAAGGCAAGAAAACCTTGGCAATAAATAGTCTACCTTTGAATTTGTAAACAATTTCATCTTTGCTGACTGAGATGGGCAAATTGGGATGGGCTTTTGTCTCACATTTTTTGCCATGTGCTAAATAAATAAATGGGAAGGCGGCCAAAATGTAAGAAAACGGGAGCTTTTCAGCGGCATGCACTTTTTATGTTAAAGAAGCAAGGAACGTTGTAAACGTGGAACCAACTGCGGGCCTTGGCTTCGGCCAGAGATCCTGGGAGTTGCGGCGCAAGCAGTCTGGAGGCTGAAAAGTTGGTTCTCTGTGCCTTCCACGAGACCCGTGGCCCTTTCCGCAGCGGCCGTCTGAGAATTACCTTGAGGCCCTTCGCAGCGCCGTCCGCGGTGGGCAGGTCCAGGCCTTCCTTGCAGGTGTACAGGCAATCGATGACTTTCTTGCTCTCCAGCTTCCCCAAGCGGATGGTCAGGCCAGCCAGGTTGCCGCGGAAGAACTGAGCCATCCGCTGGTCACCCCCTGGGCGTGGAAGGAAAAGCAGTCGTATTTAGCTCAGGTGCTCGGCTGAGCACCCTGGCCTAGGTGCCAACTCACGAACCGCGCTCGGCTTCGCTTTCCAACGGCATGCAGTTAGTTGAGTCGCCCGTCCTGGAGGCCGACTTGCAGTGATGCTCAAGCACGATGGGGAGGGAAGGAAAATAAAAGATGCTCGTTCATGCAGCGAGGGGCAGGGATGGGATGAGCGAGCCTTGCTGTGGAACCAAGGGGACTTTAAGAGGACATCGGTCTGGCTGCCTTTATTTGAAGACAGCTTGTGTAAAATAGATCGACGATTACAACCCAACAGAAAAGGGAGGACTTCTTCCCAAGAGCCAAAGGTCCAGGATGGAGACTATAGTGAGAGCCAGGATTATGGAGAGGGGATGTGATGCTACATTTCCACCCGGTGATCAATTCATGAAATCCAGCCCTCGCGAGGGTTTTACTGAAATATTCTTGGGAGATCATATGAGTTGCTCCAGATCAGCGTTTCTCAACTTTGGCAACTTTAAGACGCCTGGACTTTCGACTCCCAGAATTCTGAGAGTCGGAGTCCATGCATCTTAAATTTGCCAAGGTTGAGAAATGCGGATGAAGCCTAGGAAAGCCTATCAAATCGGGAACGCTGCCTGTTCTAGTAGTCCTCTCCTATTGCCCCATTGATAAAAATCCATACCCAAAGAAAGTATTTTGAAACAACTGCTTTTGTACGCAAAAGGTTGGGAAACTCTGGGTCAGGTCCTGCTTCTTCTCCAAGGAAGCTTCCTTAGGATCTGCCTTAGGATTGGCTTTCCCCAAGTATGAGCCTGTGACAAAGAGATTGGGATGGGCCAGCGAACTTCCATGGCAGAGGATCCCCTGCGGATCAGGAAACGAATTACAGAGACATTGCTTTCGGTTGGCTGTTTAATTCTGAGGAAGGGAACTATGGGCCAATGAGAAGAGTCCGTGACGAGTCCCACCCTGCAGTACCCCCACCCACTAGGCCAGGGGTCTTCAAACGTGGCCCTTTGATGACTTGTGGACTTCAGCTCCCAGAATTCCTCAGCCAGGCACGGGAGTTGAAGTCCACTCCTCTTACAGTCTATATCAGGGGTCTTCAAACTTGGTCATTTGATGACTTGTGGGCTTCAACTCCCAGAATTCCTCAGCCAGCGTGCCTGGCTGAGGAATTCTGGGAGTTGAAGCCCACAAGTCATCAAAGGGCCAGGTTTGAAGACCCCTGCGCTAGGCCAAGGAGACTTCTCAACCTAGTTCATTTCGTGGCTTATTGACTGGTGTATGAACGCGTGATGAGGGGTTATTGCTAAAAGAGGAGAGGCGAGGAGAAACCAAAGAGGAAGTGAATATACATATATATATATACATAAGAAAAGTGCAATGAAAAGGGGGAAAAAAAAAAACAAGCTCGGCAACGTGATTATGTGTCCCTCCAATGGCCGTAGTAATGCAATGCTGGCCGGTCATGCTATGTGTGATGACGCCACGGCTTGCCTTGGACACGAAAGCATTAAAAAGAAAAATTAAAGACGGCCAGCAACCTGCAGGATTCTCTGTGGCTTTGTCGGTGTCATTCTCATTTTCCGTATACTCTGCGGAGAAGCAAGAAACAGGGAGGAGGAGGAGGAAAAGAAAAAACAGGAGCGGGCGGGTTAGGTAAGGGCCTGGATATTTCACCTGTCGCAGTTCAGGCCTGGATGGGTCACCCACCTGGGATTCCAGTTTGTTAGTGGGACCCAGAGGAAGGGCCTCCTCCGTGGTGGCTCCCTTCCTTTGGAACATCATCCCTGCAGACATTAGACCGGCCCCCACTTTGACAGTCTTTCGGAAGTCCCTAAAGATTTGATTTTGCCAGCCGGCCTGGGAACTCAAAGAGTTGCAAAGTGCATCAAATGGCTTATTTAATTGTGTGCTGTCGCCGATGGATGAGAGTTGTTATTTTTATTTTTATTTTTGTTTTATATATTGTCTATATTGTGTTTTTATTGCTTGTTAAGCTGCCTAGAGTCGCCGCGGGCGAGGCGGCGGCTGTATAAAATTTCTAAATAAATAAAATTAAAAAAACAAAACAGCGAAGCAAAGTTCGCAATGACCTTGTGGAGCGACTCTCCAGTTCTTGAGTCGAATAATTCGAAGGAAAAGCCAAAAAAGCGGCTGAACCCACCGATGAATTTGGATCCATTTCCCTCCCCCACCCCCCCATCCCGACAGTGCAGGAAGAGAGGAGAGAAAAAAGGGGGGATTGTCGTTCCTCTTTCTGCTAAAGCTCAACGGAGCGCTAAACATAATCCCCGATTGACTTACAATTCAATTATGGTCGTCAGATTCCTGCGTGAGCCTATGTTTGGCGCCTCGCACAACAGGAATAGAAAGTGGAGGATTACGGAAAAGGACTTTTTCCCCACTAACCTGATTTTTTAAAAAAAGTCCTTAAAAGCGGTCCTTAAAAAACTGTGCCATTAGGGGATTTCTATTTTTTTTTTTTTAAAGGAAGAATTACGGTGCAAAAATGTTGGCGTGGGACTTGCCTTCTTTAGACTAATCTGAGCATCCATTTTCTGAGGATGCCGATGACGTTGACGCTATGACTGAAGTCCTTATGCAGTCCCTGGAGAAGGGCTGTTTTAATCGGCTTTAAATGCTAGTTAAACTATTGGCTGCTGCAGTTTTAAGGCCCCCTTCCATCCCATACAGCAGTTCAGTGAATTATCCTGGCAAACATCCCAATCACTCACACAACCTATTGCGGGAAAGGCAGAGCCAGCGAAGAACGTGCTCACAAGACGTTTGGTTTTATATCTGTTTGAGCTCCTCACCCAGTTCACGTTCTTCGTTCTACTACATTTTTCTTCACCAACAGCTCTCAAGATGACAAACTAAGTGCTTCTCTCAAAAAGCAACTGCCTGAGCTGGAGAGAACTAGGAAAATGGGTGATCTGATTGCCTTTATTAAATCCGAGCTACTCTTTTGAACTTCTTTGCTTCAATCAGCCCGTTGCTCCTGATTGGATGAGTTGAAGACAATCTAACATCCACATGGGAGTCTGGCCCATCAATAAGCCGTCAAGGTAAAATCTAGAAGCTGTCTTACCTTGCCAGCAAGCTCCAACCACTAGCTGGGATTCTATCTTGGAGGGGTGAAGGGGATAATCCTCGGTCACCGGGAAGGGATCAAAGGAAACGCCATCGACGTAGAGCGTGGCCACCGGAAACTCTACGTTGAGGATGTAGTGGTGCCATTCCTGATCGCAAACCTGGAAGAGGAGCCAAGTGTTTAAAAAGACACCTGTATTTTGTTATTCCCAAAGGACAGGACCCGTTCCTGGCTCTACCTGTGAAAGATTCATAGCTTTAACTAGAGCTTAACAGGACACCATGGACAGTGGAACCTCCTGCTTTGCTGGAGGTGATCAAGGGAAGACAGGAGAGTTATCTGTGAGGGAGATTTTAATGAGGTTGTAATCTGGATTTGATGGGCCAGTGAGGGTCATAAACTAATGCAGATGGATAGTAATTGAAGATCGGGCACCTCCGGGTAGGATCGGCTTGAACCCTTGGTTGTGGGCCACCAACTAGATGAACCAAGGGGCCTAACTTACAGCCCCTTTAGGCCAGGGGTCCCCAACCTCCAGTCTGTGGTCCGGCACCGGGCCGCGGCATGCCAGCAACTGGTCCACACAAACAAGCAAAGCCCCATCTGCAGGATGCCGGCAGCACACAAAACCACTGGGGGCCTCTGTTTTAGGCCATCCATTTTGCAAATCAGTGGAGGGGAACTGCCCTAGGGTGGCTGAAATATCTTTGGGCCCACCTGATTCAGCCTCCAGTGGAATTCGGCCGGCTTGTAACTCTGCCCCTCGGAAGGATCCTGGCGGAAGAGGAAGACCAACCGGCAATTGTGCACGTAGAGGGAATAACGGTGACGGCTCATGTCTGCACAAGAAGATCAGAATTAGCCTCCCATCTCCGGCTCAGGGCGCGTTTGATGCTCTTGAAAAGTCATGGATCCCTTCCAGGGCTGGTCACTGCCATTGCCATCATTCACCGTCCCGGGCTGCAGCTGGGGGGAAGCCCACAACATCTGGAAGAAGCCCAGCTTTGAGCTAATAATAGGAGGAGAACTTTCCCTCTGGCTTGGTGGGAACCAGGCCAACTCAAGTTGAGCCAATAAACCACAGCTAAGTAGCGCAGCAGGCAAGCCCAGCGCCCTCTTTTTCCGACACCCGGAAACAAGGACTTAAAACGTTATCTCCAGACCCGTAATTGGCCTATTAATGTCCAATAAACGTTAACCCTGGGTGCAGAAGGCTTGGAGGCCTCCAGGAAGGGAAAAAGAAAGTTTTAAGAGCCAGAAGTCCAAATGCAGGGCGGGAATTCGCCGCTCCACGGAAGAGAGACCTTCACAGGATTCTAAACAAGCCAGCATATGTTTCTCGTAATTCTCTGTTTCCAAGCTTCCCTTTCTCAAGTAATTATTTCCAGCATCCCAAGATTATCCCCTCTTGTTAAGTGACGGGAAACACTTGATACGGCGCGAAACGAAGCTTGCAGTTCCCTTTTCCAGAGCCTGGATTCGGGGCACGTTCGGAATAAACACACTTTGTCCCTCTTTCTGGACCCTTCCCTAATTAAATTCATTCGGAGCCAATTAAAGAGAGAGAGAGAGAGATATATAAAGGCAACTCTTCTCTCCTTGTAACTCAAGAGACAAAGAACCTCGCAGCGGTTTAACAAGGGATGTGAACTTGAGCAATCCTCACAACCGCCGGGCAGACATTGATGAAATAGGCAGGTAAACTTCCTTCCCCCGTGCAGAAAGCAAACCGCGGTTTAACATTTTTTGCTTCCTTGAAAGCCAACCTTTTATTTTAGCTGGGGGAGAGAGAGAGAGGGGGGGGAGCCTCTTGCAAAGTCAGGCTAGTCTCCAAGTGACAAAAGAAGCCTCTTTTCTTTGCTCTGTTGTGAAACCCAAGCAATTACATTCCTCCTGGAATGGAGCCCACTTTAGAAAAGACAGCTTGCAGTGCCCAGACATTCAACCTGTTCAGAGAATACTAGACAAGGGTGGAGGGACGGGAGAGCGAAGGATCTTCTCTTGGGAGGGAGGGAGGGGGAAAAAAATTCAGATTTGCTTTGTTGTGTTTCCAAATATACCAAATTAATCAGCTTGTGACGTCTGCTAGGGCAGGGGTCCCCAATCCCCGGTCTGTGGACCAGTACCGGGCCGCAGCATGCCAGCAACCGGTCCGCACAAACAAGGGGGAGGGCCTTCTCTGTGGGTGCCCCCACCCTCTGGAACGAACTACCCCCCGAGATCCGGACGATCCCGGATCTCCTAACCTTCCGCCGCGCCCTCAAGACATGGCTTTTTCAGCAAGCGGGACTGACCTAGGGTGAATTTTAAATAGGGACAATTTTAATGATTTTAATAAGACACAGCTATAAATATTTGGTTT